TGTGTCTTGTTGAATTTTAGAATTTATTCAATAAAGCCGATCAAATCTTTCTTTAAATCATTCAGACAATAGAAGAGTTCGCCGCATTGAGAAATCTCATATGTAAAAACCTGTAAAAACCTGTAACCTGCAATCATAATCTGTGAAAACTACCGTAACTCGTGAAACTACTGTACTCTGTCAAGCTACTGTAAGCTGTCAAGCTACAGTAAGAGCTACATAGTCTGTAAAGACTACCGGAATCTATCGGTATATAAAAAATTGAATCTGAGTGCAGTTGAGCTTTGTGTCTTGTTGAATTTTAGAATTTATTCAATAAAGCCGATAAAATCTTCCTTTAAATCAATCTCCCCTTTTCCCGTAGAAACAAATCTGAAAACCATTGTTGAAGAAAAAGATCACCAAGAAAACACAAGTCCCTCCATCGATCTTTTTCTTGAATGCAAATTTATCAAAATAAAGGCGATTCTCTTTTTTCCATCCTTTAACAATCGATTTCGAGTTGAAATTGATCGTTTCTGTGAACAGAGGTCCGCGGATAGTAAAAAACTGGACCAGACCGGGTATTGGGTAAGTTCAAGTCATTCAAGTCATTGATTTCAAAGAGCTCTTGATATAAGTAAGGAGATTTGAGATTGCTTGGATAAGTTATTTATCAGGAACACTAGATAAAATTGGTTTCACTGCAGGCTCGCCGCAGAAAAAGTATCTGGTTAGGACTGGTTAGGTCTGGCTTCTTATCCCTAGTAATAAAAGAAGAAAAGGAATAGGTCCTTAACACATTTGCGACAATACGGCCCACCGATCACGTCAATTTAGCGCTTGTTTTGAGGCCGATTTGGCTGAAAATTTGCTTTCGAGATTTTCGAGGATGAAAAATTCGAATCCGTTATTAGTTTTTAAAGAAAATTGCTCTATTTTTGAATATTTCAGTCGGTTTAATTATCCAAGTTTTAGAGGGTTTTGTGATGATGATTTTACGACCAGTGGAGGAGTTTTACTTTCTCTTGTGGTTTTCATTATTTTCTGTGCTGTTTTCAAAACAAATCTTTTTATTTTAGTGGGCAAAAGGAAGCAGTTTTCTGATTTTTGATCTGAAGAAAAGGCGATTCCATGAATCAAGCTGGGGACAGCTATCGAGGAATTGCCAGGAAAATTGGCCGTTCACACCAATTGATCAGCACCTATCTCAAGAATCCAACCGGTTATGGCAGAATGAAACTTACGAGACGAAAGCTGAGCCATGGCTCGGAAATTAAAGTTGCTCAAAAACTAATAACGGATTCAGATTCTCTATCCCAGAATGCCTTCAGTTACAAATTTTTAGGTCTACATCTAATATAGATCTACAGCTAACAGCTACAGCTAACAGCTAACAGCTAATAGCTACAGCTAACAGCTAACAGCTACAGCTACAGCTACAGCTAACAGCTACCGCGAACCGCCAACAGCTAACAGCTAACAGCAGAACGTGTATGACTTGTCTTTAGATCATTGTTAAGCTTAATTCAATATTTATTTAGTGGCATTGTCGTGAATCGAAGACAAAAGACTGCTCGTCGGCATCTATAAAGGAAGGATCGTACTTGGAGAGCACTCACCTCGGATGCAAGCAATTCATCACTTTTGCAGTGTTGTGGATTTATGGGTAATGTTGCATTTAGTTACCCTAAAGTCTCGAGTATAAGTTCTGCCTTAATTTACATTCGCTTTAATTGCTTTGAATTTCTTTTTGTTGGGTTTTTATACATTTTTATTGTTATATAAACTTTTATTATTGTTCTTGGAGCGCGGGTGACAGCCTACAGGACTACAGGGTGACTACAGGGTGACAGCCTACAGGACTACAGGGTGACTACAGGGTGACAGCCTATCACCATTGCTATTTGTTATGTGCATGGATACATCCAGACGATAGTGTTGAAGAAGACGCTGGAAAGCATCTCTTTCGACCGCCGACGTGGACTTTGGCCGGATGAAGAGGCCAGGGAGGGATCCATAAGACTGAGCACCGGAGAGGAGCAGGGCGGACGCGCCGAGCCACGCCCGGAGCAACAAATAACAGCATAAAATTACTATAACCCTCAATAAATTTACTTCTATTATTGTTCATAAAAAGCAAAAAAGTTATGCTGCAGCGGGGTTCGAACCCTCGACACACTGCACCGGAGACAGCCGTCAATTTGCATGGGAAAACCAAACAGAACTTATACTCGCGACTTTAGCGTAGTTAATGTTTAGCTATTCTTTGCAGAAACTACAAGATGAACTGCAACTTGTCCACACGACTGTTTGCAATCATCGGAATTATCTACGGACAATTAAGAACTAGAAAAGAAAGAAAAGAAAAGAAAGAAAGACAAGAAAAGAGTTAAAAGAAAAGGAGCAGACAAAAAATTCTTTGTGTTTGACAACAGCAAGCCTTCAACCATGAAATCTTTATTTTAAACATTATACAACTTGTACTGTTTAATGGTTGAAGGCTTGCTTTTATCAAATAATATTGTCTGCAATAAAAACGATTCACCTTCTGGTAACAAGCATCTTAATTGATCATTAATTTGCAAGATAGAGTGGGTGTGAGCTGAGCTATCTGGCTGAGTGAATTTTTTCCAATCCCACTCACCAATTACATTTGCCAAGTCTAAAGAGCACGAAGTACACCAAAATACAAAAACTTTCATGCAAAATTTCATTTTCTCTTTAAAAACAACACTGAACTATCTATTCGAATTCGAAATTTCAATTTTCATTCAAAAAAAAAAAAACTCGATTAGACTTAGATTGAAAATGTAAAAACATCAATAAAATATTGCGAATCGTTCAGAAAAAGCAAAGCCAAAATGAAAATATTTTCACTTATATGCAAAAAAAGTCTCAATTTTCACGAATATTTGATAATTTTTGAGTTTTGTAGCAAGAATAGAAAGCTTTAGCGCTATTTTTTTTTTGAATACAAGTTTCATATTTTTATTTTTAGTGTAAATCGACAAATAACCTCTAGTTAGCAGAATTTTGGGATGATCAATCAACAAGAAATTTTTGCGGAAACGGGGAGTATTTAAGGATTCGATGAGGACGAGGGGAGATCACACCTTTCAAAGCTTTTTGAGTACTGTAGCTTAGTCTATCACTTGTTCTTACAGTTATTCTTTTAGGCTTTCTGATTACTGTAGCTTTTCATAGCCTTTTGTTTACTGTAGCTTCTCAGTACTGTAGGCTGTTAGTACTGTAGCTTGTTAGTACTGTAGCTTGTTACTACTGTAGCTTGTTAGTACTGTAGCTTGTTAGTATTGTAGGTTGTTAGTACTGTAGCTTGTTAGTAGTGTAGTTTGTTAGTACTGTGCCGTATTTCTCACCGTAATCCTTGCAACTCTTGTCTCCCCTTGCACCTTTTGAGTACTGTAGTTTTGTACTGTTTTACAATATTCATTTCTTAGCAAAACCCCAGACTCTTGCAGGATACCTATACCTATACCTAACTCTTACAGTACCTATCCATAAAGTGAATAATCTTCAGGGAAAATGTTCTGTCGAGTGTTGGTTCTCATTATAGTGGCTTTCATCGCCACTCCAATCTTTGCTCAAAACCAAAATGAGCAAGGGCAAAACAACAACAGCCAAGGCCAAAATCAAAATGAGCAGGGACAAAATGGAGGAAATGGAGGAGTGACTACAAAAACTTCTGGAAGCACTACTACTAGAAGCAGCACCACCAAATCTCCTACTACTACAACTACTACAACTACTACAACATCAACTACCACCACAACAAAGACTCCAACTACCACCACCGTTGCATCGACTACTTCAACTTCAACGACGACCTTGAAACCCACCACTACTACCGCTTCAACCACGTACACGACAACTTCCACGGCTCCCACGACCACGAAAACTACCACTACTACATCGACTACTACATCGACTACTACAACGAAATACCCGACAACGACCACTACCTTAAAACCTGGACAAACAACGACGTCCACCAAATATCCAACCACGACGACCACGACGACCACCACGAGCACGTCGACTACGACTTATACGACAACGGCTAAAGCTGGACAAACTACAACGTCTACTAAATATTCAACTACCACCACTACAACCACGACAACGACAACAACAACTACAACCACAACCACGCGCTCAACAACAACCAAAGCTGGGCAAACTACCAAGAGCACAAAGTATACCACTAGTACCACATCAACTACTACGACTACAACAACCACAACAACAACCACGACTACAAGCACTACCACAACAGCTACCACCTTGAAGCCTGGACAAACCACAAAGTCTACTAAATATACGACGGCTACAACGACAACGCCGACTAAAACAACCACCACAACAACGACAACCACCACAGCAACTACTACAACCACTACAACTACTTACTCTACAACTACCACCTTGAAGCCTGGAAAAACCACCAAGTCTACTAAATATACGACGACTACAACGACAACGACCACTACTACCACAACAACTACCACAACCACTACAACTACTTACCCAACAACTACCACCTTGAAGCCTGGAAAAAGCACAAAGTCTACTAAACATACGACGTCTACCACTACAACCACAACCACAACAACGACCACAACAACGACAACCACAACCACGCGCTCAACAACAACCAAAGTTGGGCAAACTACCAAGAGCACAAAGTATACCACTAGTACCACATCAACTACTACGACTACAACAACCACAACAACAACCACGACTACAAGCACTACCACAACAGCTACCACCTTGAAGCCTGGAAAAAGCACAAAGTCTACTAAACATACGACGTCTACCACTACAACCACAACCACAACAACGACCACAACAACGACCACAACAACGACAACCACAACGACATATCCGACGACAACCAAGACTTCGAAACCTGGGCAGACTACAACGAGTCCCAAGTACACGACTACGACAATAACAACGACGGCAACCACTACGACAACTACAACTACAATCAATCGATGCGTGTGCCCAATTTTCCCTCAAAATTGGGAGGAGAGAGCGTGCAGCTTGGATTGGAGTCAGTTTTAATCTAGATTCAAGAATTTCAAATTTTTAGTCTCAAAAGTCAAGGTTTTGTCGAAGAAAAGGGTGAGGCTCAACGGAACGTCGGTCATCGAATACACTGTGGCTCATCTTTCCGTTTATCGAGTGCGTTGAGGAGATAACTTTAGCAAAAAGCTCTTAAAAAATTAAATTCCTTCTTCCAGGGACCTAAGAAGTTGCCCAAAACTCTCATCATCCCAACTATTGGCTGCAATATGGTTTTAGTGCCAAAACAAACCTATCTTCTCAGTGGTTAGTAGTTAAACAGTACAAAGACTAAACTGTTTGCATATTAAAGGAATTGCATTTTTCCAGGAATGTTGATTAACTCAAAATCCCACACGAACCCCCATTGGAGAGGCCCAGTCAGTGGACAACTTCTGACTGATCGTTGCATGATTCTTGTCGACGGTGTCAGTCCATTCTGGAGCCTTGTAAGTGCATAAGTTCTTGGTTTATAGCCCAAAACAATAACAAAACTAAATTTAAATCAAGTCAATCAGTTTTAAGAACTCAAAATGTCTTTTCTATTGAAATTCTGAATCTCAGGTGTCCAGCTGTGTCCAGCAAGAGCTCAAATCGCTTAAATGTCGCCCCGGAAAGCCACGGTTTGTTTTTCAAGTTCTATCAAAAAGAGCAATATCTTTAGCTAAATATTTGTCCATTATTTAGAAATCAATAATCTTTCATTCTTTCATTATTTCATTAACCTTTTCAGCTATCCCATCAGCCTACCGATGCCATGGGGAAATCACGGTCATCACTAAAAATCCACTCAAAAAACCTCTTTTTATCTTTTTTATACGATCAAATCATGTCTGTATATTTATCGGTAAATCTTCGCATTCAAAAGAAATCTTTGCATTCACAGAAATCTCGAATGCTTACTTGTGTAAGCATTCGAGATTTATTAGCTTCTCAACGAAATAACCGAACTTTTTTTCACTAAAAAGCGCTTTACAAATGAAGCACGGTTTCCACCATTGAAAAGATCTGTATTTTCTCCGCAAAATAGTTGTGGCCAATTTAGAAAAGCTTTCGTTTTTGGGGGTTTTCCGCGAGCGCAGAGGCGAGTAGGCAAAATTGGCGGGAATCGATCGACGGTTGGCAACTTTTTTGATGAGAGATGGCACTAACTTTCCATGCTAAAGAAAGATCAATCTCTGTAATATTCTTAGTAAAATTTCCAACATGTTTAGATAATGATCCTTGTTGACTTTGACTCCAGCTAGGCCCCATAATCTGCCCCATAATTTTGGGATTTTTGGGGATAATTCTGGAATAATTCTGGAAAAATCGATGTTTTTCTTTTACATAAAAAAGCAAAAGCAATTCTTGTTGAAAAATTTGTCAAATGAGTCAGTTTTTTTTTTAGACTACATGATTTGCAAGCATTTCAAATCGAATAAACGGATTTGACTCATAATTTTATTGAAAATAAGCTTTATTAGACGCAAAAAGACTTAAAAATGATGTAAAATTGGCGCTTTTCTGTTTGCTATTAATTTTCATTTGAAAATGTTCAAAAACAAAAGCTTTTCAAAAACTCTCAAAAGCAATTTTGTTGAGAAAAGATAGATCTTTCGAATGATAGAAAATAAAGCTCATTTGGTTTAGTCATCATTTTTAAAATTCACTTTTTCCTTACACAATTATTGAATCAGTCTATGGGATCATTTCGCCGATCAAAACAATTCTGGTAATGAGATTTTTAGAAAAGAAAGAACCTTTTTTTAGTTGTTTTTGTAAAAAAACAGTTTTTATTTCAAGTTTTTTACATTTCAATGCTAATTTTTAACTTGAGTCTTTTGTTTGAAGGGATTTTAAGTCTAAAATGTGTTCATCATTTGGATACTCGAACTCAAAAAGATGGACGATATGGAAAAGTGTAAGTTGTGAAAGCATTTCAATATTGCTTCTCAAAAAATCGTCATTAGTTTTATTTTAAACCTTTATTTTAATGAATTTTCTTATTCATTAACATGAAATGAATTTGATGCTAAATTTTCTTATCTGTACTTGTGCGTAACTGTAAACTTGACAAAACTTTGGGTAATTAAACCAGAGAAAAGGCTTCGGCTATGCATAACAAAAGCCGTGTACCAGATGCAACTTTTCCTTCAAGGTACGCGCAAAGGATAAGTGATTAAACTCATTGAACGAGTTAAAATACAGTCATGGACAAAAGTCTTTTAACGTTGGTTTTTAGAAGTTTGTTCTTTGTGTATCTTTATCCAAATCCGACCAATTTGCAAACGTTTAAAAGATTTTAAAAACTTATTATCTTTAATTTTAACATTACAAAACGATGGATTTGACAATTGGTGTCATCAACTTTTTAATAAAACAAAAATTGAGCCAAAAATTGATGGACAAACATGTGAGAAAAACATTATGAAAATCAATACTTAGTAGGTTCTCCGCGAGCTGTAATTACTGCTTGAATTCTCCTTGGCATGCTGTCAACCAGATCACGTAGAATTTGGGGTCCAATAGTTGTCCAGACTCGACGGATGAAGTACCAAAGCTCCACTTTTGATCCGAATAGTTTCCCCTTCAATTTTGACTTCACAAACGCCCATAAGTTCTCGATCACATTCAAATCAGGACTATAGGGAGGAGCAGACACAAGTTGAACATGGTTTGCTTTGAACCATCCTGACACCAGAGCCGTTCCTCCATTGGCGAGTCGAACACGGCGTCCCATCAGCAGCTGTGACTTGTGACTTTTTCCTGGTAAAATTTGGGGTCCAATGGTTGTGCGATGTTACGAGACTTTTGTCCATCAATTTTTGGCTCAATTTTTGTTTTATTAAAAAGTTCATGACACCTGATAAATTGTTAAATCCATCTTTTTGTAATGTTAAAATTAGAGATAATAAGCTCTTTACAGGGTGCGCCAAAATTATGGTAACGCTCCCGAATTATCTCATTTTTCACTTTTTTTTTCTGCAATATTTAATTCTACAACTATTTTTCAGGTATGAAATCGAAAAAGGATCTGCGCCCGGTTATCATTCGTCTACATCAGCAAGGAAAACGAATTGCTGAAATTTCGACACTTTTGCAAGAGAAGAAAGAGAATGTTTTCCGAGCTATAAAACAACAAATAATGGTTTGGGCAGGAGTTACAACAAATAATGGCTTGGGTAGGAGTTACGTACAGCGGGAAAACACCATTAATTTTCATTCGACTGGGGTAACAGTCGACAAAAAGATGTACTTGGAGATGCTCAAGGATGAAATTTTACCCTGGTCACGGGCCCATTTTGTAACTAAAAGCTGGACATTTATGCAAGATGGAGCTCCTTCTCATAAAGCTGCCAAAACACAAAACTGGATAGCCAACAACTTTCCTGATTGGATCACAGTGGATATCAGCTCGCGGCGCCCAGGAGAATGGCCTTCAAGTTCTCCAGATTTGAACGTTTTGGACTATTCCATTTGGTCGATTTTAGAGAGCAAGGCATGTGCAAAGTCCCACACATCGGTAGACTCTTTGAAACGGGCACTAATTAAGGCTTGGAACGATTTGTCCATCATCACAGTTCAAAAGGCTATCGATGAATTTCCAAAGCGTTTGAACCAATGTATTGCTGCTAATGGTGGTCATTTTGAGCAATAATCGTTGTTTACATAATGTTCTTGTTAAAGTTAATAAAAATTATTGTTTTCTAAAAGTTTTTACTGGAAAAGATTTGTGTTTTCTGCAATTACTATTTCGTTACCATAATTTTGGCGCATCCTGTAAAGCCTTTAATCGTTTGCAAATTGGTCGGTTTTGGATCAAGATATACAAAGAACAAACTTCTAAAAACCAACGTTAAAAGACTTTTGTCCATGAGTCCTGTCCGGACTTTCTGTAGTTAAATGTACGATTTATCATCCTTTTTTCATGCATCTGTTCATCGTTTCAGACGAGAATGTGAAGGTGATCTGTGCTATTATTATTTTCGTTCATCTGACGGTCTCAAAGTTCAACAATGTATTACTGGAATGAAATATTTCACCCCGGGATGTTATTATGAAGAAAATTTGATCACTGAGTTTTCCTTTGCAGAAAACTCGTATTGGTGCTTGTGCAAGTAAGGTTTAACTTTGAAATTACATCAATCATTCCAGTAACAAAGATCACTGTAATAAAGATGATCCTTTATGGTATGGATATAATATTACATGGGCATTTTTTGGTAATATTTTCGTACCTGAAAGATATCTCGAAGATTTTACCATTTGTTTGATGTATACGGTGAGAAATGGCGAGTTTTACCAGTTTTACAAGTTTATGGACCTTTAGGGACAAAAGCTATTGAATGACAATGCAACTTGGGTGAATAAAGCATCTGGGGAAGCTAAAGGAAAAGCCTGTAAAGTTACAGGGAAGATTAAGGTTTGTGTTTAAATTGAGCTGCAAATACAAGTTATTAACCAATCTCGAAAGTCTTTTCATACTTTCTTTGAAAAATAACAAATTCATCATTTAACCTATGGTTTCGGGTTTTTTTTTAATAAAAATCTATAAAGATCTCTACAAAGAAATTGGCTGAATTAATTTCTCTAAAAATTTGCCTATATGTCAAACTTTTGAAAATGAAAGCTATTGAAAGCTATTGAAAATGAATAGTGAATTTAAATCCCTTTCCTGCCATTTAAGATCGCTGTTTTCTGAAAGAATGGGGATTTTATTAGTGGGTGCACTGGAAAAAAATGCGTTTTTAAGGTGAACCTAAAAAAATCTAAACTATTCTAACACAAACCATCCATTTGATGCACCATCATTTGAAAAATTAAGCAAAAAGAGCAATCCACACGTTCCGATTGCACTGATGTGACTTTCGAGCGAGAGTGAATGTAGTTCGTTTCACTGAAAAGCTGAACTATTGGGTTGGGGAGAATGAGTCGGCGCCGAAAATCAAAAAAATGTCTAAAACTTCTATTCGACTTCGTCAAATACAGTGGTCCACAAAAGGGGACACCTTCATTTCACCTAAAGTCATTTCACCTAAAGTCATATCACCGAAAGTCATTTCACCTAAAAGTCATTTCACCTAAATTCAATTCACCTAAAGTCATTTCACCTAAAATTTATTTCACCTAAAGTCATTTCACCTAAAATGTGTCTTCAAGTACCTGATTAAGTTATATCGTTCTAGCTTACTCACTTTCAGTAAGTCAGACACTCGAGCACTCGTTCCGTGTGTTGTAAGTCTTGTACTTTTTAAGCAAATACAACATTGACAAACTTATTAATTTATTTAACAACAAATAACAAGCATAGCAACAAGAAAAAAAGTGCAATGTACCTAATTATAACAGTTATGATAAATAAAAAAATAATCGCGTTTGTAAAATAAATTGAATTCAAACAAAATGATTACCATAAAAACTCTAATAGAATCGCACTCTCTCTCTAGAAAATTGATCGCCGAAAAAGTTACTAGTTTTGAAAAAGAGTTTCGCGGAAAAGAGCTCAGAATGGTGTATACGGACCATATGTGTAACCTAGAAGAGTTGGCAGTAAAATTTACTAGAATCTGAAAAAATTTTAGAGCATTTCCATTTGAACTAGAGTGATTTTAAAAGATTTTTAAAAAAATTGTATATGGTCCCCTATGGTATATAATAAAGAACAACAACTATCTGTGACTGTTTTAATTGATAGGTGAACAACGAACGACAAATTGCTTGGAAGGCTCCAATAGTGCGCTGAGAAAACATTATTCAAGGGATCATCCAGACTTGTGGCGTTTCATTAAAGATTTGG